CATGAAGGCAAAGTCTCTGTTTCATTATACACCCAGCACCTAGCACAAGGATGCCTGCAAATATATTCACTGAATAAATAATTACGATAGAATCAATAAAACTCAGAGATTGAACATCTACCTCGGGGAGGATCGACTAGCCTCTCTAGAATCTAGTGATGGCAAGGACAGTAATAACAGTAATGATGACAGGGAATAAAGAAGAATGAATAAGTGCGTTATGACAGAGGGAAGAAGCAAAAACTTAAGATGAACTAAATGAATGTATTTGAGGTAGAAAAGTTAAACAGGAAATTAAAAATACATATGGGACATCAGGAAGCCAAAAATGTAGACTGGTTAAGAACATGGCCTCTAGGGCTGCGGTCCCCAACCCCTTGGCCACAGATCCCAGGAACCCGGCTGCACAGCAGGAACAGAGCCACAGGTGAGCCAGGGAAGCACTACCTGCACCCACAGCCACTCCCCATCGCTCACAGCCCCACCCAGCCCCGCCCCCTGTCAGATGGGGGGGGCATCAGACCCTCATAGGAGCAGGAACCTCACTGTAAACTGCACGAGAGGGATCCAGGTTGCCGCACTCCCCAAGAGAATCCAACTCCTGCTGATCTGAGGTGGAGCTGAGACAGCAACGTCCCCCCCCCCCAAAAAAAAACATTGTCTTCCACAAAACCGGTCCCTGATATCAAAAAGGTTGGGGATTGCTGCTCTAAAGGGCCTAAGTTTAAATCCCAGCTCTGCTGCCTCCTAGTTGCATGATCTTGGGCAAATTATTTAACCTTTATGCCTCAATATTTTAGTGTCAGAAAAAAGAAAAAAACAATTTTACCAACTTCACTGAGTTGTTTTGAAGATAAAATGAGTACATGCTGAAGCACTGGAATAACACTTGGCAAACAGTAAACAATAAATGTTAGATATTATTGAGATAGTAAATGGTAGCTAAAATCTGATTTCAAATTAAATATATAGTATGAAAACATAAAAGAGAACCAGAACTCCAAGTAACAACTGGGAACAAAGGAAAAGAAACATGAAGAAAAGTGGTAAGTGGACCAAAGGGAAAAGAGAGTGAAAGCAAAAGGAAAGAATTTTGAGGAAGAATTATTCAACACCATAAAGTGTTGATTCAGTACATATATACAGTCTGTAAGACCACAGTATTTGGCAATCTGAAGGTCACTACCAACAGAAAAAACAGGGTTCTACAAAGTTCAGAAGAGAGTTAAGGACAGAGTATAGCAAACAGGCAGACTATAGACTGGAGTTAATGGGTAAGTAGAGGAGAATAAAGAGAATGCTTCAGAGATCAGTGGTCCCCAAACTTTTGTTTTTAAGGGCTTGAAAAAGCAACATGGAAAGTGACATTAGGTTGTGGACTCTTAATTCTATCAAAAAATTTTAACTATATTATCATCATTTGAAATAGGAAACTGCACCAAAAATGTATGAAGACTAAAAATCCCAGAATAAAGGGGAGCACCTTTATGAAAAATACTACACTGTTCTGATTTTTTTTGTAATTTCATAGTAAATTCACAAAAATCTTGTCATGGGAAAGGCACCAGGATTTGCAAATCACTATTCTAGACCAGCCTTTGAAAACCTTGACAATAAAAAGTACAAGGGAAACAGTTCAAGTTTTCTCCCCTTAAAAATGAAAAACTCAATTTATGTCTAAGCAAAGTATCTCCTATTAACTTAAGGATATTTAGGTAGCAACATCTGTCACATTATAACCAATCTGTATGCCAGAGTGTGCAAACAAATTTTTTACGTTTGCTGGAGAATCAGTAGTTTTAGAATGTAAGCTCCAGGACTACATTTTCTATGTATTAGCTATGTCAAATCCTTACAGTTCGTAGACAAGCATTTTGGATATACCATAATATGTAAATAAAGTATATTTATATCATTTAATGGTATATAATATACCATTTATACCATATAAAGTATATTTATACCATAAAATATGCCATAATATATAAAGTGTATTTATTACATACTAATAACTACAGAAAAAAAATATCAGGACATATTTGTAATATAGTAACACATAAAGTAAGCCTGGCACATCATGAAGGCTCAATAAAGCTTTATTAAAATGCATGCATGTGGTATGTGCCACATAATGCTAGACAAACTATGTCAGATTCCATATCTATAAAAAAATGCTAAGACAACAGTTTACCTGGTGGTTGTAAGAGTGGTGGTAAGACCATACACTGGCTTTGGAATCAGACAGACCTGGTTCAAATCTCAGCTGCAATACTTTATAGCTGGGTAACCTTGACAAAGTTATTTAACCTGTAAATTGTCTCATCTGTAAAATAGGAATACCTACCTCATAAGTTTATAGTGCTATTAAATAGCAGTTACAATTTTTATACAACATGAATTATCAAAATCCCACAGATAGTCCATTTTTTTTCAAGCCCTAGAACAAATCAATCCAGATCTCTGGAGGATAAGAGGCCTGTACATTTTTTAAAGTTCCACAAGTGATTCTGACAGGCACTCCTGTTTAGAAACCTTCATCTTAGAGCCTCAGTATCAATGCTTTACCTGAATCCAAGGTAAAGGAATCATCACAGATATAAAAGAGCTTTAAGACAAGATTCTTTAGTTTAGTTGGAAGTTTCTCAGACAGACCCCTACCTTAAAAGTCTTCTATTCTTTCTCATAGAATACAATCACACAGCAAAGTTCCCTTTTAGTATTTTTTCCAAAGCCAGAGAAAATGATTCCATATTAAAATTTTACATCAAAATCAGGTATATCTTAATCTCTTCATGTTCATTATTGAAATTATTCATAATTATTTCAATAATTTCAATTATTCATAATTATGAATCATTTTAATAATGAACACTTCAAAAATATGTGTAGATGAACAGTGTATCCAGTGCTATATATAAGAATAAGTAACTTGTCCTATTTCTATGTTATCTTTCTTAGAAATAAGTTTACAGTTAAAATCCATTGATACTTCACTGAAACTCTTCCTTAAATTTTTCATTCAACATACATTTTAAAATATGTATCTCACAAGGAATCTTACTAAAGATTGAAGGTACCTAAAGCAAACTCAATATTCCAGAAGTAAACATGAAACCCTATTAACTCAATAAAATATTTTAAAGAAATGTATGGCACAAAAAAAAACCCACAAACATGAATTTTTTATTCCAAAAGAATCAGTATCAAATAATGAAAATCTCTATAAAAAAATTAAGAGTCCAGAAACACTGTAGGACTTCTCCAAAACACGCAAACTTAGAATGGCTATATTATTAATAGAACTACTGTGCCAATAGTAGATCAACTGAAAACAAGCAAGCAAAAGGAATCTTCTTTAAAGGACTTTTCCGTTCCTGTGAAGGAGAGAACTGGAAGGGAAAGCAAGGGCTAGAGCAGACAATATGGGCTTCATTAACATACAACAGGTTTTACTAATTCAGACACAATTAACACATTTTCTCAGCTACACTGTTAAAGCTTATTGAAAAGTGTTAAATCCAAAACTTGCATACCACAGTACAAAGGTCAAAAAACTTTAACAGGGAGTGGTGAAGTATTATTTAGTGGGCCCAAGCCTTAATGCATTTGTCAATGCAATTTTTAAAAAATAAATGCTTTACCAACTTTGCTCACACAGAAAATTAAGTTTGTAGCATGGAGTAGCAGATAAGTTGTATACCAACAGAACTCTGTAAGTCCCAAGTATTTTAAAGCAGACTGTACACAAGTTAAAAGAAACAATTTTGACTAAAGCTTTTCAAAAGTTATTTTTTTTTTAACTTTTAAAAAGTTTTAAAAAGCCCAATAGTATATCAAAGCACAATTCTAAAACGCTCAATTAACTAACGGGTGTTATAATTTTTTGACTTCATAAAGTGTCAAAATACACAAGTAGTTATACTTTTTAAAAGTTGAACTTCACCCACTTTATGGAGTCAAATAAGTTTACTAGTTCAAAACCAAACTAAAGAGACTCAATTTGTTTGAGGACAACCTCTCTACGATAATCCAATCTTCCTTTTTTCAACACCCTATTTTTCCTAACTATTCACCGTAGGCATACGACATCTATGACAGCGAACAATACTGCTTACATCCTAAATAGTAACAACAGTTTGAAGAACAGGTGCAAAACGATTTAGATGCACGCTTTCTTCTACTAAGCCTAAATCTGTCTTGGGAAGGGATTTAAAAATAAACACGAATACCCAAAAAAGTTAATAATCTTTTCCCAAAAAATGCAGCAAAGTTGAAGTCCAAGATATGAACCGTAAACTAACAAAGTCTTTCAAAAGTTAGGTAAGGTAGCCTATCAAAGGTTCACATCATGAGAAATGAAGTCAGGGCTCAACTATGAAGGGTCCCCAGGACATTTAACTTTGCTTATGTGTGAGTTAGTAACGTGAGCCAAGTACTTTTACTTCGAGCTAACATTAAATCTTTTCTCAGTTGCTTTACAGATACAGCACAGAGAGTCTGATTTGGCTTTTTATAAGTAAAGAAGGGGATCTGTAGAGCTAGGGAGAGGTCTAGTGAAGGGTACTCCAAAAGAAAAATTCAGTGTTGAAAGCGTTGATGAGTCACTAACTAGGGAATAACTAGAGAATCCTAGTAAGGCAGCATCTCAGGTAAGAAGGTACTTAAAGTTGACGGTGGGAAATAAAAACTTCACAGATCAGCAGCAAGCCATTGTGCTTGGTAGCAGCCCTGGAAAGCAGCGTGGCTGTCAAGGGGCAAGTGCGTACCAAATCGGAGGGAGGGGGGCAGACATGCCAAATAGGAAAGGGGGGGTGGTCCGGGAAAGGTGGTAAGATGCCCATCCCAGTTCCTCTCTTCAGGTTCTTCATCTAAAGAAGAGCAAACAAAAGCAAACTCCGTGCCCAACAGCCCCAAACCGGACTCTCTCCCACAGAGAGGTGCTCGGCCCCAAGTCCCGGAGGCCCGGGAAGGCCGCCTCCGGAGGAGCCCCCGCAGACGCCATGCTAAAAGCCAAAATGGCTGCCCCGAGGAAGCCCGCACCGCGTAGCTAGAGAGGGTTGGGGAGCAAGATTCTGCGGGAAAGGGGGAGGGGGACTCCAGAAAAAGCCGTTGCCAGGACCATCACCCCGGAGCAGCACAGGTACGTTCCTCTCGGCCTCCCAAGGCGCGGGCTCCAGCTGAGGGGAGTCCCGGCCCCACCCCCCCGGCCGGGAAGCCTGCCGCCGCAGCCGTCCCGCACACCGACCCCAGCGAGGTACCTGCAGTTCGGCCCGCTCCACCTCCCAGTGCGCCCGCTCCATCTCGAACCGAGCCCACTCGTGCTGGATGTAGTGCAGTATCCCTGGTATAGTGTACTGCTGCGGCCGGGACAGCTCGGGGCCTGCCGCGGGACCCGCTCCCTCGGAGGCCGGAGGACCTCCGCCGCCCGCAGCTCCGTTCCCCCCTGGCGAAAGGCTCAGGTTCCCCGCCGGTCCCTGCGGCTGCCGGGGAGGGGCCGCCATCCCGGGGCCGCCACCACCGCCTCCGGCAAGCTCGTCCATTGTGTATGGGGCCCCGGCCGGGGCGCAGGGCAAGACGCCGACAGCCGGGGGAAGGGCTGGAGAGGGTGGCCCCGCGCTGGCGGCGGGGTGGAGGCCGGCCGAGAGAGGGGCGGGGAGGGGGTCGTTGCTGTGTGCCTGCCGTGGGTCAGAGCAGGGAGCTGCCGGCCGCCGCCATTACAATCCCTCCTCCATCTGCCCGTCTCACTCACTCACTTTAGGGGAAGGGGGGGCCACAGCGGGAGGGGGAGAGGGGGCAGGGTTGGGAAGGGGATAGACGTAGGGCCGTCGCTGCCGCACAGCATGCCGGGTAGAGAACGCCGCTGCCGCCGCATGCTTAATAGCCAAATAGAGTTCGGCCTCACCCTACGCAGGCGTACTGAGAACACACTCCGGGTCGCCGTTAGAGGGCGGAGAAGGAACTCAGGCCCCGCCCCTAGACCCGCCCCCAGACGGGATCCGGCAGTCTGGCGGCGGTTACTGGACGTTGGGGCTTGGACTCTGGCTTTTGGGAGTGAGACGGCCCTGGGCTTCTTGGTTATCAGTTTCCTGCGCGCAGGCAGACCCCAGGCGCTGTTTCCCACCAGGGGGTCTCATCCGTTTGCCTGCCTGCCGAGCTGGGTATTAAGCTGACTGGTCGCTCTGTCCGGCCGCAACCCGTCCTGAATTCCTGACGTTTTTTTCGCATTCTTTGCGTGTTTCAGGCATTCCCAAAGGGTCGGCCCTCTTTCTCTGTCCGTCCCTCGCTCTATCTGTGGTTTCTTAGCACCAATTTCTGAGATTTGAGAGACGTTCTCTTTTGGCAAATAGCCCAGATCCTTCCGCACGTGGTGACTGATTCTTCATCTCCGTGTCGAGACCAGGCTTTGGTCCCATTTCTGTGCGCCCGGTCGCCCGTCGTAACTTGTTCCACTTTGTGTCCCCTCTTCTTTCCTATTCTGGGATGGGTAGTGTTTTGGAGGGTTGGAGAGGAGCAGAGGCGATGGTTTTCATTTTTGGGGGGGAGAAGAGAAGGTAGTGAAATCCTTTAGGTCTTGATGATGGTGGGCAAAAGGAAAAAGATAATTTTGAAGGAGACTGACTAGACTAACAATTTGACGTTTGAGACGTGAACGAGCTCACAAATGTTGTCATTAATGGCAGAATATTTTGATCGAAATAAAAAATAAAAGTATTGCAAATACAATTTAAAAACCTAAATGAACGGCTAAAGATGTTTTCCTGGGTCTTCAAATGTTATTTGAGTGAATATAATATACACATTAGAAGACAAGGTTAATTTTTTAAGTACTGTAGTGGGTATTTTTATGTGCTTAGTTTCCCAGGAAATATCCTAATACACTGGTAAATTTCTAAAAGTTAATTTAGCTAATAAACATTCCGTTGAAAAATAGGATAAAAATAATATTTAACAACATAAGGAAAAGAGGTTCAGTAATTACAGCATACAGGAAAACTGCATATAAAATCGGTTGCATTACTTTTTCTTTCTTCTCCACTGCAAAAGCTAATAAAATTTTCACTATAGAGTAATAGCTACCGATCACTCAGGATGTAATTTCAAACACATAAAGTAGTACGTGTTACTTTTTTTTTTTTTTTTTTTTGAGACAGAGTCTGGCTCTGTTGGCCTGGCTAAAGTGCCGTGGTGTCAGCCTACTCAAGGCAACCTCAAACTCCTGGGCTCAAGCAATCCTTCTGCCTCAGCCTCCCGAGTAGCTGGGACTACAGGCATGCGCCACCATGCCCAGCTAATTTTTTCTGTATATATATTTTTAGTAGAGACGGGGTCTCGCTCTTGCTCAGGCTGGTCTCAAACTCCTGACCTTGAGCGATCCACCCGCCTCGGCCTCCCAGAGTACTAGGATTACAGGTGTGAGCCACCACGCCTGACCTGTACAAGTACGTTAATGGAAAGCCAATTGGACTTGTTATCCATGCTGCCATTTTTTATTTCTATATGAAATGAGGTCTTAGTCACAGTACTACTGCTAAGAACTATTTCTCCATATTATTAAAGTACTATTTCTGCATTTTAAAGTGATCAACATACAACCTGTTTATTCATCTTATTCCTTTTTGGGAGGCTTGCTCAAGACCCATACATATTCACTAAGAAACATTTGTGAGAGGTTGTGGTTGGCCTGCATGATGATAGCATCAAAATGAGAACGGCCTGGTGTGGTGGCTCACACCTGTAATCCCAGCACTTTGGGAGGCTAGGCAGGAGGATGGCTTAAGGCCAGGAGTTTGAGATTAGCCTGGGCAACATAGCGAGACCCCTGTCTCTACAAAAAAGTATTACAAGTTAGCCAGGCAGAGAAGCGCATGCCACAGTCCTAGCTACTCAGGAGGGTGAGGCAGGAGGATTGCTTGAGCCCAAGAGTTTGAAGCTGCAGTGAGCTATGACAGAGCTACTGCACTCCAGGCTGGGTGGCACAGTGAGAACCCTGTCTCTTAAAAAAAAAAAAGAGGAACATGCACACTTATATTTACCACTGGTACCTCAAGCTCAAGGAAAGACTGCATTTATAATCCCGTTTTCCTTCCCACCTATCCTCAAAACAAAAACAAAACCTCTGCTTCTCTTTTTGTTATCATTACTACCTTATTACGTGGTTCTACAAACCTGAAGCCTGAAGTCATTCTAGTACCTTTGACTCAGCCCCCATATCCAGTTCCCTTCTCAGTAACATCCTATCCCATGTCATTCCTCTGCTTAAAATATTTTAGCAATCTCCAAATTTAGAATAAAGTCAAAATTTTAGCATATAGAGGTGCTTCAAATTCTAGATGCATCCTATCACCTAATCTACCATCACACCATCATGCCATCCCATTCTTCTCTCCAGTCAAAAACTACACTGTTTTTGGTCCCTCAAATGTATGCTGTTTGATACAGTAGTGATTTAACACATTCTGTGCTGCATTGCCCTTCCTTCCCTTCTTCCTTCAAAACTCAGCTCAGGCATTAGCTTGTCCAGGAAGCCTTCCAGATCCCTGAATTAGACACCTTGTTCTATTCTAATAGCATCCCGTATTTATCTTTTTAATACTTCTTACACTATATTTAAATCATCTTTATATTGGTTGATAACACTCATACTAAACACTATGAAAGCAAGACTTGCACGTAACAATACGTTTTTGCTTTGCTCATGTGTTTTTTAAAAATTTCTTAATTGGCTACTATTTTTCAGATATTCTGCTAGTTCCTGGTGATCCATTGTGAGCCAAATGGACATAATCTCTGCCCTCACAGAGTTTCTAGACTAGTTTTAAGCAAATTACTTAGCACCAACCAGCCTGGCGTCCTCAATATCTGTCCAGATCTGTCTTAAAACTACCTTTTTTAACTTCAAGTGTGCTCCTTATTTCAAGAATTCCAGTTAAACATGTCTGCATTCACTTTAACCATGGTTTTGTAAATGTCAATAATGCAGTCCTTGGCTATGTTCTTTCTAGACCATAGAGTCATTTATATGCAGGATTGCAGCTTCATAGAGGGGCAGGGCCCATGCCCCAGTTGTTTGAAACTGTACCCCCAATGTCAAGGAAAGGGTGGACCCCCAATAAATGTTTGATGAATAACTTAAATTTAGACTAGACTAATATGAATATTTTCCCTTCAAGTCAATAATTTTTATTAGTTTTTGTTGTCATTATACCAACTGTCTCTTAAAGTTCAATGAACGGAACTGCCGAGTTTTAAAGTAAAGGACACCAAGATTTTCTTCTTTGTTGGGAGAATGTTTCATAAATTATTTTTGTGCTTTGTGTTCATGACTCCTGAGAACACTGCAGTGAGCTTCTAGAATCTTGTCCTCTGTAGGTAATGAGCTTTCCCAAACCACATAATCACCTGCAACTCACCTAATTGGAACTCTGTCCCTAAACTGTGGCTGAGTCATTTCCTCTTTCAGTCTCACCTTTGAAACTTCCTATTTGTGCTGTCCTTTCATCAGTCCTGTTCATTTCTCCTCTGTGCCCATAGATTCTCCCAGTTTCAGTCTACTGCTGATGATCTTCAAGAATGTTTATAAATGCCATCAATTTAGAATTCTAGGTGGTTTTTCTTTCCTATTAGCTAATCTTAGAAACTATGTGCTTGTTCTGTTTTTGACCAAAGTGGGACTTGTCATATTTCATATGCATATATTAATGTCAGCAAAGGTATCTTAAGGAATTCCAGGCTTTTAAGTCAGGAGTAGATAAAACTCAGGTGCCTTCTTACCACTTATTCTAATACCTGATGTTCAAAGAGGTTTGACCCTGTATTTGAGAAATATATAGCTCCCTGTAATTACTCATCTGAACATACAATTTTCTATCTTGCTGACTATGTACCTGGCATCCTTCTGCCAAAGAGCTCAAACCGGTTCACAAACACTAATCTAATCCCCTTTTACATCATCTGCAAAGGCTGTGACAAGTATTTTTATCTCCATGATGAAGAGAGAAAACTGATAGAGTTCTTGGTCACTTCAGCAAGTCCTGAGTAGAATAGGAAGTAGTTCTCACTCTTACATCAGTGAATGTATATATGTATTTGGAAATAAAGTCTTCTTTCACTATTCTATCTCCTACTGTCCTATGATGAATGGGTTCAATATAACTGCCTCTGGTTTCCAAGTCGTTTACATGTTTGAAATTATTTTTAGATAGTTTCACGGTAATTCAGTCACTTAGGGAAATGACACAGTGTTTACTTTTGTAAACAGAGACAGCAGGCAGATATTAGAACCCAGAGAAAGAGCTGACATGTGTTCGAAAACCAAAGGAGCAAAATGTATAACAGGCATGGAACAAAAAAGGAGGAGGCATCTTTGACCTTCACCATGTTTTAACCTTCCAAATAAGATGAGGTATTTACTTCTCATTACAGTAATTGCCCATGGCTAAGAAAGTTGTGGAAATACGTGCACGGCATTTGAACCATTCAGGATAATATATTGTGTGGAAAAGGAAAAGGACCTTCACAAATTATAAAAAACAGACACCAAAACCTTTAGGACACTCAGCATGCTATATAAAATTCTAGTCCAAGTTCATTCTGGAATTGTCTCCTGGGTAATATGAGTCAGAAAAAAATAGGCTGTGATGATAATATATAATAGCTAACACATAGAGATGTCAAAATGGAAAAGAAAAAAAAATAAAAAAAGAT